CTGGGGACCTGTTCGTGGTGTGGTGCCCGCCATGCGCAGGCCTGGCTCCGGTGTCCGTCCTTGTCCCCAAGCCACCCCGCCAGCAGGGCCGCAGGGCACAGAGGAGCGACCTGCGCAGGCTGCCCTGGGAGGCCGGGGCTGGGATTGGGCCCATGTCAGCCAGGCTCTGCTGTGACCCAGCCAAGGGGCTCAGGGGAAAGGTCAGGTGGTCATGAAAGTAAGGGCATGGGACTGACCCCCTCCTCGCTTTGGAAAGCCTCAGGTCGAGCCGCGTGTCAGGAGGCTAGCTGGCCTCCGGCATCTCCAGGGAAGTGCCGCCCCATAGGCCCGCCTCCTGCCTGGATCGCTGGTGTTTCTGCGTGGGGTTCTGCGTGGGGTTCTGAGAGGTGGCGTCCGAGCGGAGGCTCTGCTTTATGCTCGGTTTTCACACGTTCTGTTCCAGGATGTGGTGGGCAAACCTCCCCCATGGCGGGCAGCGTGCCTTCACCTGCACGGTCTCTAGAGAGGTCAGGCCACGCGGGGCCTCTGTCGGGTTCCGCGTGTTCTGTCGATTTGTCTGTCCCTCCACCCGACACTGCCCTGCCCGCTGTTAGTGAGTCTCAACACAGAACACGCTTCCTCCCGCTGACTCGTCACCCCGGTGTTCAGCTCTCGCACGTGGCCTTCCCGTGGATTTGAGAGCGAGCGTGGGCACATCCCACGGAGGCGCCGGCATTGCTATGTTCCTGACCTCCCGTCCGCACGCGCTCTGCTCATGCAGACGCCGCCCTGGCCCGGGTGCCATACTGAGGGCTGAGCTGCGCTTGGAAGATCTCAGTGGCCCGGCATCTTACGCTCGGTTTTCACACGTTCAGGGTGTACGGAAGCACCATTGGTCTTCCTGATCATGGTCCGGTGGCTTCACTGAACTCACTGAGTTGTTCCAGGAATTGTTTTTTGTCATTATCTTGGGTTTTTCTGCTCAGAAAGTCTTGTGATTGGCAGATGAGTTGGGGCGTGGGGGTGGGGATGGGGTTGTGGAGGTCTGGACTCCCCACCCAACCTCCTGGTACGGGAACTACTGGGGAAGGGTGGGGTGCCAGGGGGCATGGCAGACGGCAGACCCCCCCCCCACCTTGTGGGGCTGCACGCCCCAGGAAGGAGCACCTGCTGGCTGTCCCTGCTGTTTAAAGGCTGGGCATCGATGCAGGCAGCACACCCTCCCCCCTCCTTGGGAGAGTTTACGGTTTGGGGGTACATCCTCAGCAGTACAGATGCTCGGTGGTGCCTGCCCACCCCTGCCTGGTCCCGAGCTCCGCCTGGACTTGCTCATTCACTATGCAGTAGCTGGGGGGGCACCTTGAGGAGGAGGCAGGATGCGGAGGACCAAGTGGCCGCCTCCTGCACACGCCTTCCCTTTGGGGAGGCCGTTTTCTGGGGGAGCGGCGCTCGCTGGCTTGGTGCCTCTGTAGCACTCACCACGCCCGGCAGGAGATGTGGCCCGGAATGTGCTGCTTCCACGCACAGGGCCACGGCTGCTGCTTTAGGAGCACGGGCCTCTCACCAGGGTCCCCAGGTGGGGCCAGTGCTTCCCCGCGGGCAGGTTTGCTCAGCACTGCCCTCTCCCAGAGTCCATCTGGCCTGTCTGCTAGAAACACAGGGGTCAGGGGTCAGGGGTCATTCTTGGTGTCTGCTGACATTGATGGGACTAATGCCGGTGGCCTCTGAATGTCTCCTGTGCAGGCCGTGCTGGGCGCGTGTCTAAAGGCTACTGTTACCGCCTGATACACAGGGATTTCTGGGACAACGCCATCCCTGACCACGTCATTCCAGAGATGTTGGTAATGCGCTGGGGTCAATTTCAGAGGTCACTTTCTATAGACAGTTTTTTTTTTAATTTATTGATTTTTTACAGAGAGGAAGGGAGAGAGATAGAGAGTTAGAAACATCGATGAGAGAGAAACATCGATCAGCTGCCTCCTGCACATCTCCCACTGGGATGTGCCTGCAACTCAGGTACATGCCCTTGACCGGAATCGAACCTGGGACCTTTCAGTCCGCAGGCCGACGCTCTATCCACTGAGCCAAACCGGTTTTGGCTCTATAGACAGTTTTACGGAACAGTCTAAGTCTGCAGTCACCAACTTTTCGGACCTCATGGACCACCAGTAGTCCGTGGGCCACCGGTTGGCGACCGCTGCTCTAAGTGATGTGACTTAGATTCTGTAAAACTCCCCGTCTGCTGGCTGTTGAGCGGGTGTCCGCGGGCTCCACCCTCCTCAGTGAGGCAGGCAGTGTGCTCTGCTCCCCCGTCCCCTCCTGCTCGCTCTCTTCCATTCTGTGTCTTTCCCCCATCCTCTCCCCTCTTCCCCTTCCTGGCCCGCCTCCCCCCAGGACCACATTGAATGCAAGCTTGTCCTCTTCAGCGTTGTCCCTTGGGCAGCACGATCTTGAAGGTGAAGCTACTGGACATGGGGGAGCCCAGGGCCCTGCTGGCCACGGCCCTGTCCCCGCCAAGCCTTGGCGACATCGAGCGCACCATCCTGCTGCTGAAGGAGGTAGGCCGCTCGCTCGGGGCACGGGCGGGGAGCGGGCTTCATGCTGCGGCTTTAAGGCATTTTGTCATGAATGACCAGCATTTGCTTAAAAAAGCCCGGGTAGTGACGAAGCGCTGACTTCGATCCCAACAAGGCTTGTCTTGCACAACCGCATCGCTTCCCCTCCCGCCCCTGGCGCCCACTCGCCTCCCAGGGCCGAGGAGCTCTGAGGTGAGGAGCGCTGACCATCGAGCGGTTCTCACCTCTGTCTTCATGTAACACGCCAGGTGGCGTGTCCATCCCCTGAGGGCTGTGCAGGTCGTGTCTGCAGGCTACGGCCTGCGCCCGGGTTTGTGGGACAGCCATCTGGTTTCCATGGCCTGCGCACCCCTCTGCCCCTGCCCCTCCATTCTAGCTGCCTCCCATGGCTGGGAGCTCCGACTCCACCCCCTCGGCTGTGCTCTGGACAATGCGCCCTGTCCCTGTTCCTTGTGGGGCTCCGCCCTCCAAGCGGAGGTGCCTCTGGTGTTTTGCCTTCATTTAAACCTGCTTGGGTTTCTGTGAAACACAGTCGCGTGAAGGCAGTCTGTTCTGCACGCAGGTCACATGCTCCGCTGGGAGTGGCCAGCGTGACGCGAGCGGGCAGTGCGCTAGTGCAGTGCAGCCGCTGCTGCGCTGTGAGTTAGGGGGCGTCTGTGGGGCTGGCCTGGGGTGGTCACCCTCTGGAGTCGCAGGTGTGCTCCAGTTCCCAGCCAGCTGTCAGTGCCCCTGTGCTCCCAGCTTCCACGGTGGGCAGGTTCCTTAGGGGCCTGGGTTCGCCGGACCCTCTTCACTTTGGGTCTCACCTGCTGCCATGAGGAAGCGTTGGGTTTCACCTCACGTTCACGCAGGTGGGCGCGCTGGCCGTCAGCGGGCAGAGGGAGGACGAGAACCCGCACGACGGCGAGCTGACCTTCCTGGGGCGAGTGCTGGCCCAGCTGCCGGTCAACGAGCAGCTCGGCAAGCTCATCGTGCTGGGCCACGTGTTCGGGTGCCTGGACGAGTGTCTCATCATAGGTGAGTGAGGGCGTGGGCCGCGCCGGCGCCGGGACCTCCCCTCTGACATCCTGTGCTTTCTCTTGCCAGCGGCAGCGCTGTCTCTGAAGAATTTTTTTGCGATGCCTTTTAGGCAGCACCTGGACGGGTACAGGTGGGTAACATTCCTATTGTGAACAGCTGCTTGGTCCTGCTGGTATCGATGACCTTGCGTGTTATTCGTTGTAGGAACAAGGTGTATTTCTCTGGCAATAGTAAGAGCGACTGCATCGCGCTGGTCGAGGCATTTAAAGTAAGTTCTCTGGCCAGGTTGGCGTGGCTCATTGGCAGAGCATTGACCTATGAACCAGGAGGTCACGGTTCAATTCCCAGTCAGGGCACATGCCCAGGTTGCCGGCTCAATCCCCAGTGTGGGGCGTGCAGGAGGCAGCCGATACATGATTCTCTCATCATTGATGTCTGTCTGTCTCTCCCCCCCCCCCTCACTCTGAAATCAATAAAAATACATAAAAAAATAAAATGTTGGAGGAAGTGGGTGGGGGTGGGAGTCCAATGTTATGAAGTTGTTTGAAGAATTAAACTTGTAAACTTTCTGTGGTCCAACTGTGTTGAAAATGAACGTGTAGAAAGCAATGTGAGTCGTCAGTGAAGCATTTTGAAACTTGGGTTCTTTCCTTTCAGACCTGGCAGTCCTGCAGGCAGAGAGGGGAGCTGCGGCACCCGAAGGTAGGCGCTCCCAGGGCGCTGGGCCCCGAGGCGTTGCGAGACGCGGAGCCTGAGCCTGAGCCTGAGCCTGAGCCAGGACACTGCACTCGCTCCGCTGGTGCGGTCCTGCCTGAGCAGTGGTGACCCTCGGAGTGTCTGGAGCCTCTCCCTGGGGTGCTCGGTGCTGGTGGGGATGCGCGTGGACCCGGCTCCACTCAGAACCCGAGGCCTGTCTTTGGCTGTTCTTAGGTAACGGGCTGAGAGGAACCCGGCCTGACGGTGCCCGCCCCTCCTGGCCAGGTTTGGCTCTGTAGGCAGGGTCAGGCCTGTAGGCAGGTGTGTGTGCTTCCATCTGCCGCTCAGCTGTGTCCGCCCGCTCACCCAGCTCCTGCTAGAGCAGCGGTTCTCAACCTGTGGGTCGCGACCCCTTTGGCGGTGGAACGACCCTTTCACAGGGGTCGCCTAAGACCATCCTCCATATCAGATATTTTCATGACGATTCATAACAGTAGCAACATTACAGCTATGAAGTAGCAACGAAAATAATTTTACGGTTGGGTCACAACATGAGGAACTGTATTTAAAGGGCCAGAAGGTTGAGAACCACTGTGCTAGAGTTTCAGCAGGTGGTTTCTCTGTTGCCTGGACTCTTGCTGGATGAGATGTGTGTTACAGGAGCCAGATTAGCTCCAATTTGCTGCAGTAATACGAGTATTGTGCTTTTATGTGTTTAAAGGATGAACTTGACTGGGGACGGCTAAATTACATTCAAATCAAGAGAATTAGAGAGGTAAGTGGTGGTCCCCAGGGCAGTAATGGGTATTCCAAGAGACACATCCTGTTCCAGCATGAGCAGGATTCATTTGTGCATGTTACATAGAAACGTGTTTATGTGAGATAAGGCTACACCTTACGTAACCTGCCGTTACTTACATGTCAACGTGTAACACACAGTACAGCTACATAGAGTTGTCCTTGTCCTGTCCTCTCAGAGATGGGGGCCCCTCTGTCTCATTCCGGGTGTTGGTCCCTGTGTCGTCTCTGTTTCTTGATTGGATTGTGTGCTGGGGCGGGGGGTTTGGGGCGGGGGGAGGTGTCCCCAAGGCCACCCTCAGGTTCAGCGATTGGCTAGAAAGACAGAGCTCAGACCAGCTGTTTGTTATGCGTGTGGCTGAGGGTTACTACAGCTACAGGGGCAGAATAGAGTCAGCGGAGGTCCAAGGCCTGGGGAGAAGCCAGCAGGGACCAGGCTCAAGGCCCCGTTGGCTCCCGGGAGTCATGGGCACGATTGGTTCTCCCCGCAGTGACGTGTTCACCAAGGCCAAGTCCTGCTGCCCTGGGTCTTATCGGGGCTGGGCTAGGTGGGCGTGGGTACCCGCGTGGCTGGTCTTAGCTACTTGGCAGCCCCTCCGAGGTCCCTGTGACTGCATGGCCCAGGGCCCTCCCTGCACAGAGGGCATGCGGCCTACAGCGCTGTGTCCAAGGCCTCAGCCAAACACGCTCACGAGGCGCATGGTCCAAGGGCTCCGGTCCGTGAGGAGCCGGCCTGTCTGGACGTGTGGGGCGTGGACACCGGGCCTGCTGAGTCCGGGCTGTGCCGCCCAGTGCACAGGCGCTTACCTGTTTGTTGTATTTTCAGAGAACTTACTCTTTTGTGTTTTTTGTTTTGTTAATTCTTGGTAGAGGGTATTTTTTTCCAATGTTTTTTAGAAAGAGTGGGAGTGAGGGAGGGAGAGTTGGGGAGGGTGGAGAGAGAGAGAGAGATCCATCCATGTGAGAGACACACCAATTGGTTGCCTCACACACACACCCCGATGACCAGGGCCAGGGATTGAACCTGCAACCCAGGTACATAGCCTTGACGGGGACACAGACCTGAGACCCTCGGTGGTCTGGCGAGGCTCTAACCACTTGGAGCACCAACAGCCAGGCTCGGAGGACGCACTCTCGGTTTGAATTCACTGCGTGGATTTTGGGGGAGGGGCATGGGGAGGGGGAGGGCTTTCATGGGTTAATTTTGCTTTCTTGTTAATTCAGCACCCATGTCTCTACTTACTGTTGTCTTCCCAGATGCGTGGTGAACTCCTTAGCACTGGGAGCGCCTGCGGCTGGGAGGGTGGTCCCAGTGGAGCTGCCCGCAGCGCTGGTCTCCCCTGACTCGCGATGCAGGGCTCTAGAAGAGTGCTGGGTTTCCAGGGCAAGGAGGTGGTTTAGAGCTTTTGTTCTGCTGCTGGCTTCTGAGTTTATTGCTTTTGGCCACGTGAGTGACTTGCTTAATTTGAAATTGATTTTTGATTAGAAAGGGTGCACGTGACTGCAGCCTCGAGGAAGGCGTTCAGGAAGCTGGAGACGCCCGTACTGTGTGCGCTGGGCGTGGCCTTCCTGCTGCCCAGGCTTCCCCCGCTCCCTGCGGCTCTGCCTGTCTGTCCTTTCAGTTGTGTCTCCAGTGTGTGGCTTGTGTGGTGGTTGCTCTCTGTGACTGATTGACGCAACTCGGGGGGAACTTCTTCATGATCAGCGCAGAGGCGCCTGGAGCTGTGTTCTCGTGAGGGTCGCTGTGCAGAGTGTGACTGCAGTGAGAGCTGTTCGGAGCGGCTGCTGGCCATGCAGCTTGTTTCAGTCACAAGGGCAGCCACCGTCATGCAGAGGTTTTGTGCTCAGATGACGTAAAGCAGAGGACCCGTCATGGCCATTTGCTCTTTTGAACCCTCCTGTCGATGGTGGTTGTGCGTTGGTGGTGGTTGCGCTGGTGTGCGTGTGGCGTGGGGATCACGAGGTGCAGGAAGTGAGTGTCCGGCATTTCCTGTCCGTGCGGTGCTGGGCATCCCTCGTTCCTGATTAGTCAGCTCTCAGGAGCCGCTGTGACAGCCGCGCCTCCCGGCGGACGGGTGCTCCCGGGCACTGCGGTGCCCCTGCTCTGCACACGCCGCCCCGAGACCGTGTTGCTTTCGCAGGTGGCGGAGCTGTACGAGGAGCTGAAGAGCAGGATCTCGCAGTTCAACATGAACGCGGGCTCCCGGCGGCCGGCCGTGGACCAGGAGTACACGCACAAGCAGCGGTTCATCCTGCAGGTGCGGGTGGCCCTCCCCTTCCCTTCACTGGGCCGCCGGCCGCTCTGTGCCAGGGTGTGGGCAGCACACTGCCGGCTGCCCCGGCCCGAGCCTGCGCTCAGCTTCTGAGAAAACAAACCGCTTCCAGCATCTCTCAGTGCCTGCCGCCCTCACACGGAATAGCCTTGCAGCTCTGAGGCCGCGGGCTGATGAGCGGGTGGGAAAGAACCTACCACGACTGCGGGAGGGATTTTCCGGAAGATGGCGGAGCCCTTGTGTGGGGCCCGGGGCGTCTGTGCGCTGGGAGTCAGCTGGGCGGCGCTGGAAGGGGGTGTGGTCACTGAGGGCCTCGCAGAGGGCTTTCCACGGGACCGGACCGGCAGGGCTGCTGTGGGAGCCCGGCCAGTCCTGAGGCCGAGGAGGCGTCTGCCTGCTCGCCCTCAAGCCCCCTCACCCCGTCCCTGTTCAGCTCCTGCCCTCTGACCCCGGTAAGAAGTGCTCTCGCTCCTAGGAGGCAGGTCGGCCTGGTGCACATCTGTTAGCCGTAGTGACCAGAATCGTGGCTTCCTGCTTGAGTAGGGGGTCTGGTTTTTATAAAACTCCCCTTACATTATCAGCGTTGCATCCTGGGAAGAGGGGACGCTGTAACCTGCTGCTGCATGGAAGTAAGTTTCTCCTCCAGGTGGTGTTGGCCGGTGCTTTCTATCCCAACTACTTCACCTTCGGGCAGCCCGACGAGGAGATGGCGGTGCGGGAGCTGGCCGGCAAAGACCCCAAGACGACCATCGTGGTAGGTGGGGGCAGTCCTTCCTGGGGAGAGCGGCCCTGGAGGCCCCCGGGGCTCCACCCCAGCACGGCTGGCAGGAGTCGGTCTGAGTCCTCAGGGGGTGTCCTCACACACGTGAGCCCCGCCGTCCTGCTCCCTTGCAGGCCTCACAGCCCTGAGATGTGTGTGCTCGGCTAGTGCCGACCCGGGGCCATCTGAAGGTGTGGGCGCTTCTCCGTGAGTTTAGGCACATTCCGTTCACCCTCGGCTCGTTTCACACACACAGAGAGGTTACTGGGTGGCCGCCGGCACTGCGGTCTGTGCCGCTCTTGCTTGAGGCCCTGCCGGTTTCTGAGCTAGAAGGCATGGCCGGAAGCAGCAGTGACCTCAGGGGTTTAGGTGACACTGACCGCCAGGCCAGCCCGTGAGGACACCTGCCGGCTGAGCCCTGTAGCTCAGGGTGACAGGTGGGAGCTGGGCTTCTGGACCTCGTGGTTCCACTGCTGCCTGCACCTAACGGTGCAGCCTGGTGTGTGGCGCGCAGCGGCTTTCCGCTCTTCTTGGTGACGTTGGCTGTCGCCCCTCAGAGGGATGACGTAGGCAGAAGTGGAGGATGTGTACGGAGCTGGTGCTCAGCACGGCGGCGAGCGCCTTGGAGGGATGCTCATCCCACAGGGCAGTCGCTAGCCATTGTGGGGCCAGGCCTCCTGAGGCTTCCCCACAGCCCTTCCCGTGGTTCCCTCACCTTGGTGCCAGGGGTGGGCGGCCTTCTGCCCCCACCGTGCCGGCGGAGCCCCAGCTGCCTTCCTGCTGTGCACAGCGTGAGCTCCGCGTCTCCTTGGCGCTGCCTGAAGGGGGGATGCGTCATCCGCCGCTCTTGGTGCTGTGCATGCTGAGTCCTAGGGGCACCCCCTAACTTGCCTCTGGACATCCCACGGGGCAGGGTGTGGGCTCAGACCTGCGCCGCATGGAGCGGGAGAGGGCCGTGGTACACGGGACCTGGTCGCAGCCAGAGCAGCGGGGACGCCCCCGAGCAACCATAACCTCCCTGTGGGCGTCCGGGCTGGTTTAGGCGAGAGTTGGCCTTTGTGTAACATACTTACCGCTAGATTTAGTTGCCGTTAAGTCACTAGTGTTGAGTGCCCCTGGCCGTGGAGTCTGCGTCGGGGCAGCGACAGGAGCAGGATGTGAGCCCTGCGTCAGGCTCCGGCCTGGCCGTGCTCTGAGGGGCCGTGTGCTTACAGCTGAAGCACACGCCGCCCTACGGCTTCCTCTACCACAAGCAGCTGCAGTCCCTCTTCCGGCAGTGCGGCCAGGTCAAGTCCATCGTGTTCGACGGCACCAAGTGAGTCGTGGGTTCCTATCACCACTGCAGTGATGGAGGGGCGTCAGTGGTCCCCATGGTTACAGTGCTGGCTGGCACCACGTGGCGTGGACGTGGGCCTTTGTATGGGTGGGAGGGAGAGGCACATGGT